CCATGTTTGAGCTATACGAAAGACAGTTACGTGTGATTCAGCCTAATAGTTCAGGGTGTATACCCTGAGACAGGGTTTCTCAACCACCGGGCTGTTGGCGTTTGGGGCAAGAAGGTTTTTAGAGCGTGCGGAGGGGTCATGTCGTGTAGTAAATAAGCAATGTCTAGCGGCATCCTTGGGCTGTACCTACTAAATGCCACCAGCATCCCCTCCTTCCCCAACTCTGACAATCCAAAACGTCCCCACACTTTGCCACGTACCTGTGTGGTGGTGGCGAGGGGAGGAAAATCGCCAATATCGACATAAGCCATATGACATCGGATTCACGTACAAGGATCATCATTAGGAAATGTGACATTGCTACATCACTGTAATCAGGGTAGAGTTCGAATATTTTAACTTCCTCAGTTGTCTCCAAAATGTCTTTGTTTATGGTTGGTAAAAGAGAAGCCTGGAATTAAGTAAACTGAGACACAGATTACATTTAGATGTCAAATCTCTTTAGATTCCTTGATTTAGAGCAGTTCCCCAGTCTTTGTTTCCCTCCCTCCCTCCCTCCCTTCCTTCCTTCCTGGAATTGACATTTTTTAAAAGCCTAAGCCCGTCTGCCTATTCTGGAATATCCTTTACTTTGGACATGTCAGATTTTTTTCCTGATTATCTAATTGAGAATAATTATATATTCACATATATACACATATATTTACATATATGTATATATACATATATGTGTTTTAGTGGTAATTATACCTAGATAGTTTTATATCCAATTTTATCTGTTTTCCCAGGACTATTTTCTATTTTAAATGACTGCCTTACATTTTTAAAAAGTACTCCCCTAGTGTTTTACGAAACCATTTTTTATTATATGTATGTAAAATTTATATTATATTTGGGTCTACATATTTTTGGTTATTTTCATTGATTATTCTACACATTTGTTAAATTTAAGCTGTTTTGATTATAGAAACTATAATAGAGTTCAGTATCAGGTGAGGCTGGTCCTGACTCATTGCTTCTTTGTGTATGTGCATGCATGTTTGTGGGTGTTTTTTATTATTGCTTATTTTTTCGGATTACAGAATCTAGCTATATAAAAATACTTTAAATTTTACATCAATTTATGATATTGCATTTTCTTATTGAAGAAGAGTATTTTTTTTTCCTTTTACTCAAGTCCCAATTTTGTGTCTTTCAGGAAAACTAAAGTTTTTCCCCTATAAGTTTTTCACATTGTTAAATTTATTGCTGATATTTCTCTCCTGTTGTTAGTGTAAATTGAATCATCTCCTTTATTTTCCCTTGTAATTGTTCATTGCCTAAAAAAAAGAGCATATGGATTTTTACATGTAATTTTATATCTTGCTACTATATTTAATCTCCTATGGATTCTAGGAGTTTTCTGTTGATTTGCTTTGCATATCTATTTACCCTTTTATATAATTGCAGTGATTACTCGCTTTGAATTTCAAATTGCTCATCTTTAGCCATCTTTGGTTCTTGTGTTTATTTGATACACCCTCTAGTGTCCTAATGGTGTCCTTTCCACAGTCTTTTACTTGTGTAGTATTGTACAATTTAAAATACGTTTATTTGCTCCAGACCTAGAATCAACTGTTTCTCAAGAAGCATTGCCTTCATGACAATGATAATTGGAGACTACACCGTGTGCACTTAAAGATGCTCATGGCTAAATGGCTTGTGATTATTTCTCAGCCTTTTCAATACAAGATCTAGAAACTGTAGTTTTTAAAAGAAAAAGCAAGAATTTGTTATATTATTTAAGTTTTAATAAAATACCATAGGATTTTTTTACTTTTTTTTGATTTTGTGTTGCATCTTTTCGCTCTTATGCTGAAAAACATAGTTCCCAATGATTCTAACATGCTTATTTACTTTTTCCCATGTCATCTACTAATAAAAATTCTAAGTGTAATTTAATCAAACTAGGTTTGTTTCATGTTGTTTTCAAATCTAAGTTTGCTTCATTAGAAGGAAGTTAAATCCAAAGTGGGGGGAAAAAGCAAGTGGAATATCTAATTCATGTGTTTAATCCTCTAATTTTTATTGCTATAGACACATATTTGAATTTTGTTTTATATATCTTTAGCTGTATTTTGTAGACACTAACGCTACATTTTCATTTTTTTCTAGATGTTCTCAACATCAGTTGATATTTTCATTTGATTCAAGCTCCATTTAATAGAAAATTTCAAAATTTTAAGGTGAGAAGTCTTTCTCATGTTTTGATTGTTATGAATTCCTAGTTTTATCATAATGTTTTTTTTTTTTGGTGTGTATGTGTTTGTGTGTGTGTTTTTCTGGGGACTGAATTTAGGGCCTTGTGCATTCTAGCAAGCATTCTACCTATAAGCCATATTCCTAGCCCCATCATACTATTAATAGAAAATATGATTTGTATTTTTATGTAATTTATTGAAGTAGTCATATCTAAATTATGGAATCACTTTTCATAATTTTTGTCATAGATTAAGTATGTTATTTGCATATTTCAGTTTTTCTTTGAATATCTTTTATTTTTTGCTGAGGAGAATGCTGTTATTTTCTGAATACTTTTTCTATGTCTTTTGATTTCATTGTGAATTGTAGCATTATAAGATTTGTGCATGTGTGCTGGTAATGGATTTTGATCTCCATTCTTCTTTTTTGGGTTTCAAAAATATTGATTTTTTCTTTTTTTAAATTTGCTTTTCTTGTTATGCCTTTGTCCATCTTTTCTTTTGTTCATGTCATTTCTTATTTTTTTTCTTTAAGTATGTCTTTGTCTTTAAAAATAGCAGTTAAGTTTTAAGTTTTTCTTTGGATTAACCCAGGTTTTTTTTTTTTTGCTTTAAGTAATGGGGTTAATCTCTCTGTTGACTATTATACTTGGTCTGTTATCTCATTAATTATATTAACATGTAATATATGTCATGTTAGATGGCAATAAGTGCTATTGAGGAAAACAAAGAAGAAAGGAAGGGATAGGAAATGTAAAAGGGAATATTCCATTTTAAATAGGTGATCAGGGGGAGGTCTCTCTGAAAACATGACTCATTTGGATGATTGAGGTCAGATTGTTCTTGATGAGAGAACAACTTGGGGGAAAAGCAGGGCACAAGAATGTCTGATGTGATATCAAGAACAGCAAGGGAGCTGGTTCGTGTGACTATCTCTCTTTGGGGGCTTATGGATATTGTATTCTGGGATGCACTCAAACGATGCAGCATAGTGGTTTCATATTTGCTGACTTTGAAAGTTGAATTACTAAACACCTTTCCAAACCCATACCATTGCACCGATCTGTGAACATATTCTTCAAATTTTTGATGTTTCAGTTTGTACTTTGTATTCTACCTCCAAACACATCCAATACAGATCACCATTTAGCTTTGGGCTATTTATCTGAAGATACGAGTTTATAGGGGAAATTTCTGTTGTGACACAAGAATCAACGAAATGTATCTTGACTAACAAATGTTCAGAATGCAAAATAACATTATTCTCAGAAGCTCGATTAAAGGCCAGAGAATGAAGAATTTTTTTTCTTTTCTGGTAATTATTTGAAAAGACATATTCGGCTTAAAATCCTTTTCCTTTTTTTAAACTTTTTTTTTTTTAAAAAAAGAAAGCAAAGTTTTTATAGAAAACAGAATGAAATGAGTGTATGTGCGAGTGAGGGAGGGATAAAGATGAATTTAATCTGTAATTCAACAAAACAGTGTCCAGGATGGGAAGAGAGAAGGAACAAACTTTATTATCTATATGCAGGATCACTTCTGCCTTGTCTTCTGCTTCATTTAAGAGCATTTTGTCTTTCATTTTCCCTTTTTCCCCTTGTTTCTTTTTCTTGAGCAGGCTGTCACAGTGAAATATTGTCTACCCAAGGCACAACTCCTATAGAAAATTGAACCGAGCATTATAAAATAGGACACAAAGCAAAAGACTTCATCTGAGAGCTGAGATCATCTTGCTGGCAGGTGCACACAGACCAGGTTCAGCAATTCAACAGTGTTTCTCAGAGCCAGGGGGGTTCTGCAATTTTTGGTGCGCTATTGTCTCCTGCTTTCATAAGTGCACATTTCAGTGCAATGTGAGCATGCTTTCATGCTCACATTGAACGTTGGATAAGTAGTTTAAACAGAATAATTTAAGGAATTTCTTTTTAAATTTGTAAATATCAAATAAATTCCAAAGCAGCTTGTTCTTCTCCCTGATAGGGTGAAAAGGAATGTGATTCAGATTTTGTCTAAAGATTCTAGTTTCCTTCTTAAGTTTGTGAGGCTAGCAGAGTCCAAGGCAGTTGGACTCAGAGTAGCTCAGAGATAAATTGACAAAGACAGAGCAGGGAGTAGAGAAAATGGAGGGGAAAATGTGCAAAAAGATGAGAAAAGGAATGGAAATTTCTCAGAACAATTTTGATATAGATTAGAGCTTTTGAGGTGGAGTGGAGACACAAAATCTATGGAGCTGATTTCCTGGTCCGTTCTGCAATGTTCGAAGAGGTCAGGGGCTTTGTCCTAGATGGAAGTCTACTGTGTGCAGATACGTGTTTTGAGCATAGGGGTTACATGTTAAGTGCTTCCAGTTTCAGAACTCTGTTACCCATGGACTGCTATCTAGTTCTTGCATGCCCCAGTTTCCAGTGGAATTAAGGAATAAGGTTCAGAGGATCTGTAAATGCTATTTAGAAGCTGGGATCTTGCTTCAGCAATTGTTTTGTGCTCAGACTCTTTGTTTGTGAGGAACACAATTAGAGAACCATCTTTTAATATTCAAAAAATTAAATATATTCCTGCTATGGTAAACCTAGACATGCAGCCTGAACTGCTGCTGAAAAGTTTAGTTTTTGACATACATACCACTAAGAGTGTCACTTCTAAAGTGCCTGAAGTCCCTATTTTAAAGGCACAAATTAGTTTCATAAGCAAATCACATGCTTATTTAATTTCAATAGAGAAAAGGAAGAATTTGGAATTTTGCATATTCTTGAGGGCAGTGAGAAATTTTATTAATAAAACTGCTATAAGAACACAAAATTCTGCCCTTTAATTATCTGGGGAAGTTGCTGTCTAATGGTTTTCTTATGTTGCCAATATATGTTGATTTTTTACATTTCTGTCTGTTCCATTCTTTATCAGATCTCTGTAGATATGCCTATTGAAAATAGGTTGGAAACTCACACATTTTTTTCTTCAATTTCAGGGAACAGATGATTATGAGACCTGTTTTTCAAAAGGAAGCTTAAATTTAGTTATTCTTTTAGAGTGAAGAATGAATTTACTATTGTCTTTTCACATAAAATTCATAGCTTATTGAAATCTGTTTTTGCCTTTTTAATTGTTGCAATCCAGGTTGCTCCTGTTTAATTGTCTTGGTTAAATTATATACTGATATCAAACAAATTACCAACACCAATTTCTAACAAAACTGTAACTATAAATGATTCCAAAATTTCATTGAGTCCCTGAGAAGTGACTCTGTAAGTGTACTATGGGATGTACTATAGAGGAATTATTTTCTGTTAGGTGGTAGTAGTGGGAGTTAGGATAGTAGAAGCTCACAGGGTTGAAGAAACATGTTGACAATAGCAATATATAGTTTTAAGGCCTGTTTTAATTCTCATGTTTTGTGATTTTCTTGAATATAAGACATAGCCTAAAGTATATTTTTAAAAAGTGAAAATGTTCTAGTTTTGTATATGAGGTGGCTTACTGTCTAATATGATTACCAAGAAGCATGCTGTCAAGGCTTCATTGTGTAGGGTGCTAAGTCAGGGGCTGATAAGCACCAACTGTATCCTCATCTTGAAGATGTTTATAATAGAATGTGAGAAGAATAATAAAAAAGTCCAAAACAGAATTGAAAGCAAAGGTAAGATGTTTAAAATTTTAGTTCTGTTTTAGTAAAGTGTCTTTTAGGAGCCTTTATTAGTGCAGGGCAGAGGGGTTAAAACTGTTAAAAACAATAAACATTTGTCTCAAATTATCTAGCTTAAAACTAGAATTTATTAAGTGTAGCTCTCCTGCTTGGATAGAGCAAAGAAGGAGTGGTTTCTCCACCCTCCACCCCCATTTCTAGTTTAAGCCCAGATCTTCTCTGTCTGGGATTTTTCTGATTAAAAAATGATGGCAATCATTAGATTGTTTCATAACTTATCACCTGTGCAAAGCCAGGTGGATAGGTAGTTGAAATGTCCATGCAACTGAAAAAACAAAACAAAACAACATAAAAACCAAATGTGCTTCCATGATGCTGAAAAACATCATGAAATTGTTCTAATGTATACAACAAATAATTTGCTTGTCTTAATCTGATCTGTGGGAGGTTTATACGGAAATGTCATCTTCCCTCTATTCAAATTGCCTTAGGTTTCTGGGTATTTACAAATATTTTTTATACTTTAAAATTCTTTTATAATTGATGTGGCTGTTTGCTTATAGTCCAAGTCTAATTTGTAAGCTGGAAAGTTCATTTATTTTTTCGTCTCACATCTGTTACATATTTACTATGTGTCAGGTGTGATGGTAGCAATTGGTTTTTCAGTTAATTTCAAAACTTATTTATATCATTGTGAGTTTTATTTGCCTTAATTCCAAGAAATACAGTGTGCAAAACAGATCATGTCTCCATCAAATGGGCCTTTCACAATTTATGTAAATCTCTAGTGTAGAACTTTTTTTTAAACATTAATTTTGCTGGAATGAGAGCAGAGCAGGGTCTGGATTTGGTCTTCACTGTGTCCTCAGCATCTAATACAAAACCTGCAACACACTAAGATCCAAAAAGGATGGACTGGATAAACAGAGCAACACATGCATAGGTGTTGCTCTTTCAGAGATGTCTTTGTTAGGTGCTAACGCCATTTCACACTGTAGGATATCTTCTAGAATAAGGCAAAACCTTTATTTTAAAACTCTGTTGTATCTTTCACCCAGAATTAGACTGAATATTTATCTGAAGCTCCTTAATATGACGATGAAATATGATTCAAGTCATATTTTGTAATAATTTTGTAATAATCTTCGGTTTAGAAGAGTGTTTGCTTGAACAACTACTTTATACTAACTTGAGAATATTTTCCAGTTTGCTTGGTAGGTAAAATAATAAGGCTTTGGAGAAACAGTTTGTGTTGGGGAAATGGTGACAATTGTTCTCTGAGAAATTTTTCATACCATCCAGCATTTAGTTGCTTTTTGTGTATTCAATGGGTTTACATCCACATACACATTTTCTATTTGTGTATTGAGTATTAAACAGTGCTTAAAGGAGATAGTATTCATGTGTTGCCAAAAGTTTATGCAATTCATGTGAAATTTCTGATCATTTTCATTTAGAGTAGAAGTAATGGTACTGTAGCAAAATGTCTGGCTTCATACTTATTGCACGAAGTCCTCTACTGTTGAGTACACTGTGCACTGCAAAAAAGATACCCATCTAAAGTGCTTACTGTTTAAATCAGGTATTACATATTTGAATATTCTTTGAGACAATTTTATGGGCAGTGAAATTTTTCATTTTAGTAAACTCAGCATATTATGATATATTTTATATGGCAAAGGGAAGCAAAGTGTCTTGAAGAAGAGGTACCTTGTTTTTTTAAATTTGCACAAAGGCTTGATATGAGTTAGTGGTGGCCTGAATTTTAGTAAATTAAATAATTCCTTTTTTTATTAGTCAGTTTTGTGTAATGCAATAAAATATCTGAGGCAGGTAACTTAAAAAGAGAAAAAGTTTCTTCACTTTACAGTTTTTGAGGTTCAAAATCTGAGTTTGTGTGATTCCACTATTTTGCCTTCTGGTTAGGGGAGTAGAATATCATGTGGAAAACTTCTGTTAAATATCATGTGGAAAAACTTCTAGTTAAATATCACTGTATTCCTCTGCTGTTCCTCAGGCCACTTCACCCTCTTGCTCACTGCACTGAATTCCTCCCAGGTCATCTGCTTACGTCTACAGGTTTGGTTCCTACATTGGTACTCAGGGCTCCAGGTATAGAGTGACTATTACAGGGTGATTGCTTCCTGCTTCCTACATACTGTGGCATGATTATATTCATAACTCTCTAATATGTATTACAAGATGTCTTATCACTACTGTTATTTAACAAAATTATATTTATTTTGCACAGGTTGCCATATAAGATTTTTTTTTGAAAAGTGTAGATGAACTCTCTGACTCCTTGAGGAGTTTATCATACACTGTTTCCAAAAATCAAAATGTGAACAATAGTGAGGGCAACCTTACTAGAGCTTTAGGTTATTTAATTACCATTTAGGAGAAATTTTTGGTTCAGTTAATTAAAGTGACTATAATGCATACAGTGTTGGACACCTAAGAGATGGGTAGCCAAGGAGGATCTTATATAGCTTTATTTCTATGATCTGTTTCTATGAATAACTGACTCACTATTTTTTTCCCGTTTGATTAACAAAGGACATGACACTAAGCACTCACTAAAAATCCTTGATATCTGTTTACCTACATTTTTTTTCCTTAACAAATGCATGAAACTCTCAGTACCAGGTGTGCTCTGAATCAGCCTTTGGAACAAGAAGCTCTGCCTAGTACAATACTAGAAGATGCCAGTTATAACCCAGCCACAATTTATAGGTATATACACTGCTTTGCTTTGCTTTGTGTCTTACATCAGAATAAAATAACAAAGACAGGTGAAGTAATTAATTAGAAGATGAAGGCAGGGAAAAGGTTTCTGGGTGAAGGGTAAATGTTTGGTAGCAGCAGGAGAGGGAGGTAGAATTGGATAAATGTTATATCATAATGAGAGCAATGGCCAGCATCTCATTGGGGGGTTCTTCTTCCTGCTGAGGAGGATGTAAGCCACATGAAAACTTAAAGTCTCAAAGAATTAGTGAAGAACAAAACACAAATAGAAATATATGTACAAAAAGTAGAGCTCCTGATAGGTCTAGTTCACATGGATACTGGAACAAAGGAAAGATGGCTCCAGTGGTTTATTTAAGGGTGTACATCAAAGTCAGAGATAAAGTTTCAAGGGAGGAGTCTTGCTTTGTGATGTCTTATAGTGAGCAGGTTGATTGGCATCTTGGCAGGTCACACCCATCTCAGGTGCTATGTGGGACATGGCAGAGCAGAATAGAAATTCACACTGTCCCTGGGCAGTTGACCAGAGAATATGTCCACTGGTCATTCCCAGACACCAGATATTTCTATCCACTAGGCTTTCATGAGTGGTAACCTAAACACACATTCATGTTTAGCTCATGACACCATATTATTAATTCGTTAGAGCTTCCATAACTAATAACCTCAAACTTTGTGGCTTGGAACAATAGAAATTTGTTCTCCTGTAGTCAGAAGGCTGGAAGTCCAATATCAAGGTGTTGCCATGTCAGTGCACCCTCTAAAAGCTGGAAGGAGGACTCTTTCCTTGTCTCTTGCTGGTGCTAGTGGCTGGTGGCAATCTCTTTTTTTTGTCAATAATACATATTCATTCCAATCTCTGCCTTTGTTTTCAAACACCTTCTTTTCTGTGTATCTCTGTGTCCAGATCTCTCCCCTTTTATTTATGAAGACATCATTCATTGGCCCTACTCCAGTATGACCTCACTTTAACTTCTTTTCAGGAGCATGCTTTGTCCTATTTTATCACCATAATTCAAAGGAACTTAGTATGCATGCAAGAAAGCAGCTTTCTACAGATAACACTAACTTAGGTCCTAATTCCCAGGATGCATGAGATAAAGTCAGTGTCCTTTAAGATAATTGATGTCTGCACACTTCAGCTGAGGCCCACTGTCATTGTTCTGGTGAGTGGAAAGAGATATTTCAGGGACATGGTATTTTCTGTTATCATTTTCTCCAAGGATGACATGGGTGGTTGGCAAACAAGTCATCAATTGTAGTAGTGAACTGGTTGCATATACTAATCTTAAATTCTGAAATCTGAAATATTCCCATATCCCGAGTTTCTGAGCACTGACATGATACCACAAGTGGGAAATTCTACATCTGACCCCATGTGATGGGTCATAGTTAAAAGAAGACATGTGAAAAATATTGTGTAAAAATTTTCAGGATATGTGTATAAAGTATATGTAAAACACACAAAAAAGTTTGTGTTTGAACTTGAATTCTGTCCTTATTATATTCATTATATTTTTGCAAATGTTCCAAAGTCTGTGAAATCTAAAATCTGAAACACTTCTGGCCCTAAGCATTTTGGATAAGGAATACTCAATCTATATAATGGAATTATATAGAAAGTTAAGGTCCTATGGTACTGAAACAAGGTGAGTGTGAATTGGCCCTGGGGGGAGGAATTGGGGAGTACTTCTCTGGGAATGTAGTGCTTAACTATGTTCTCAAGGCAAGAACAGATATAGAAAGAAGTTTGCAGCTGCCTGAGCAAAGATGACAGAGAAACAATAATAAACAATAATAAACATGTTTACAGATCAATATTTACTGTTTAGTATTACTGTTATGAAGGCTTCATCTTGAGGAGACGAAGAATAAATGTTTCTATTTCCTTTCCTCTAAAATGGAGATAATTTTATATCCCCTTTATAGATTGTTATAAACACTAATCAGCTGGAAGATTCCAGACACAAAGTCATGACAAGGAGATGGAAACATTAATTGTCTTGATTTGATCAGTGCACATTGCATACTTGTTTTGAAATATCACACTGTATCTTATAAATATGTGGGATTATTCCATGTTAATAAAAAAGTTTAAAAAATACTTAAGGAAATGGCAAAGCCAACTACTGTAATTTGATTATTACACATTGTATTTATTTATCACGTGTCCCGTAAATATGTACAATTAAAATAGTAAGAATTAATAAAATAAAAATTTAAAAAGTGCCAGTATATATAGAGTACCTAGCACATACATAAGTGCTCAACAGTGTGAGTTCCTTTATTTCCCTACCAACTACCCTGTCTTCTTCTTTTCTTCTAACTTTCCAACGTAGAAAACTCCTATGTTGACTAAGTTATAATTTTGGAAATG